TGGCCACCAGACATGGTGATGAGTTGGCACCAAGGTCAGTCTGAGAAATCTGGTCAGCCAGTGGGCATCAGCAGAGGATAGGCCTGGGCATGGGCCTGTGTGTGCTGTGAGTCCATGACAAGGGGGTGTGTTTGTACAGGAGCAAGGACAGAGCCAAGGGGAGGCTGCTCAGCACAGTTGGTGCTTTTGGGGCCCTGTGCCACACTGAACATTTGAGTAATTTTCATGTAACATTTTTCATCACAGTCATGTTCAGCAAATTTTAAACACCTGGAATATGTTGGTTTTTCCAGTATAGGCTAAAGGAATGTTTGCTGCTGTAGTGGCTGGTTCTTGGTGTGCTTTAGACTTGACTCTGACTCCTGGATCAGTTTGTCATCTACACAGGTGTTCATGTCACTCCAGTAACTTTTGTTCCCCTTCTGTACATATGCTCTCATCAACTATCTGAGTAAAAATCAGTAAGAAGCTAATAGCATTTGAAAGATGAAGTGACTTTCTAAAATTATAAATTCATATGGGCAGTTAATTTGCATAAATAGTAATTACTTTATTGAATAAGCAAAATTCTTTTAAAACTGTTTTCTGTATTAAAATGTAATTTGCAAAATATGAACTAGTGCAGCAAAAGGTAATCCAGAGCTGCTCCGTTTCAAGCAGAAACATTAATAGTCAAAATGCCTTGCCTTATTCAAGTGCATTTCAAGGAGGATTCATAAGAGATTCTGTTAGTACATTTCAAGAATTCATGAGAGGTTTTTTTAGGTATAGAACTGGTACAGGGACAGCACTAAATGCTTCAGTGTGGGCAACTGGAGCAGAAAGCTTATTAAAGCACAACCTAATCATTTTTCAATGTCTCTAAAAAGCAAAAGAATGCTGTAATTTGCTGTTTTCATCTCTCACATTTACTGGAAGGTATTCTATTCTTAAGTGTGCTCTTCAAGGAAAACTCACAAAACTTAGATTTGAAGCATTTGAGAGGCAAAATTTGTTCTGCTGTGTGATGTCTCACTTGGTTTAAGCTTTCTGAGAAGCCGAATGGAAAAAAAGAGAGAGGCATGACCATGTTAAACATTCCCTCTGCTTGTATTTTTAAGTGATAGCAGCAGATTTCAACAGAATTATCGAAGTTTGTACAGGGCTCTGTTTACCTTAGGGAATTAAAGAATTTTATGCTGTTCACTTATCTCATAATCCTCCTGAATGTATTTTTGTTAGGTCGATTTTGCAAACCGTTTTGTTGGAGGAGGTGTGACTGGGGCAGGACTAGTACAAGAAGAAATTCGTTTTCTAATCAATCCAGAACTGATTGTGTCGAGGCTCATCACTGAAGTCTTGGATCACAATGAATGTCTTATCATCACAGGTTAGTCTTTGCAGGAAATATTTAACATCTAACTCTGGTTTTATAGATACAAAATAGATTTCAAGTTGAAGTTTAGTGTGTTTAAATGCTGTAAGGATGAAAAAGAAATAAAGTCAATATTCATTTGACAAAAGGCTTTCTACTTCATGCCATCTCTTAAGGCCATAGGGACACTGTTCCAATAGATGCTTTGTGAAAGAAGCAAAATGAAAAAAAAAGTGACAGCAGGCATACACAACATTTTTTATCCTATATAAATGTGTTTGAGGACTTGGTGTCATTAGCTAAAGAATGCTGTTGGGCAATACAGAGAACATGCACGATTCCCAGCTATTAGCTGGTCCCAGCTACCAGCAGGTAATGCTTCTGTTACGTTAAAGGGTGGGGGATTTTTTTTCCTGTCTGGAATTTGTAACATTTCGTGTGATTAGTGGGAGTGAAAACTGAGAAGAGGAACTCCCTTCTGGTTACCTAAAAGGGGAGGAAACAGAAAAGAAAATCAGCATCCATTAAAATACGGTCAGGAACTGCCTCTTAAGGATTTTGAGCTTGCAAGTGACAAACACATGTTTGTGTTACTTATAAGTTAGTTATGGGTTCAGAATTCCAACATCAAAAACTAAATGCTTCTCCGGTATGCTGTTGTGGAGCTGTGTATGGAGATGCCCTGTCTGTTCAGTGCTTTGCTGAAAGGGATTTTCCTTCTGGTTCCACCTCTGTCATAGAACTTGGAATGTTTTATTATCTACAATGCTTCTCCGGTATGCTGTTGAGGAGCTGTGTATGGAGATGCCCTGTCTGTGCTTTGCTGCTTTGCTGAAAGGGATTTTCCTTCTGTTTCCACCTCTGTCATGGAACTTGGAATGTTTTATTATCTATTGAACCAAAACAGTTAGCATCAAAAGACCAAATGTCACTGTTAAGAACTGAGGAGGCCACGGTGATGCTGTGTGTGTCTCAGTTCTGTGCACAGGAACACAGTGAGCATTTTGCATGACTGAAAAATAAAATGTTGCTAAGATATATTTTTGTTTACTCTAAAGAACAGCTATAAAGCAAAAGTATATGATACCTTTGGGTAAATATTGTTTATACTTTTCAGTCTGTTACAGTAAAAATGTTGGGTTTAGATACCTGAGCTGTCTCAGCAGGCAAGAATTTGTATAGGTATTAGAACACATTTCTTGGAAAAGTCCCTCTAAAGCACTTCTTTCTCTCACATGCTTACACAGTATGCATTTGAGCTTAAATCTTGCAAGTATTACTCTATCCTGAGTTATTGATTGCACTGGGCAGAGCATCTTTTGTTTTCAGTTTTATCCTTGGTAATCTTTTTTAGACGGTGTTTTATTTTGTTTTTCCATCCTGCCAGAATTAATGCCTTTTCAGTGAAAACTCTTCGATAAATTTGCTTTTGTGATTAACTTTTTAAAAAGTGAGTCAGAAAAAAAATTCCTGGCCATCACCAACTTCTGTTGTGTATTTTGGATATGATACTATATTAACATTGAAGTACTGTCCTTTGGGTGAGGCTTTTCTAAGGAGAGTAAAATCAGAGCACAGCTATCAGTCTGGGTATTAACTGATCAGGGAGAAAACACTGAATGTTTTGAAAGACCTTCTTCCATCCTCCTGCAAAAGAAATAGGGATCTGGCATGGATAAATAAAGGTGAGGATGTTCTTTCACTACAGCAACATTTTATTTTTGTTGAATACTTTACAGTGTTTTGCAATTAGTATTTGTGATATGGTGTTCTTCTCTAATGGAAATAGCCATTCCATCATTTTTATTTAATCCCTGGAGCTCTTCCACCTCAGTGCTTAGCCAAGTCTCCACTGTGTGTCATGATCCTCTTGATAAATTACATTCTTGGTGATGCATCTTGACTCAGCGGCCTAATGGGTATAATTGTGTAGCTTAAATTTGCAGAGGAGTCCAAGAAATTGGGAGATAAATTAAATTTGTTGTGATTGCACAGTATCTGGTTAAGATCACTGCTGTAATGAGTATGGAACTGGTCATGCAAACAATCAGGTTCTTTAACACAGACATCTACCTACAGAAATGTCAGGAGCAATGCCAGAGATTCCCACAGCTGCATTTCTGGTAGAGCTGTGAATACGTGTGAGTGGTTTTCATTCAGATTGTTTTCTTCCTTTTTTTTTTTACCCCTATTTGAGCTCACATGTACTTGGGTAGCATTAAGAGCAGATAAAGCTGTGTTCCATGTTTACTTTAAATCTACAGATGGAACTACAGCCAGTCTGGACTGCATCTTAGCAATGCATTTTTGGAGACTTCTGAGCACATTACCCAGGCAGTAAATGAGATCAGATAATTGGTTCAGCTGAAAATTTACTCAGGGGGGAAAATTGTTTTTCAACTGGGTTTAGCAGGCTGGTCATGCCTGTGTATGGAGAGCCAGGAGACTAATGGGGGTGCAAGCTAAGGATCAGAAAAGCTGATTGAAAGGGAGAGAAGGAACTTCTCACTTTTGGCACTAAATGTGCCTTTATGCTGGTGATGACAAAACCATACTCCTGCAATTTTCACATCTACTCCTTTTGATTTGGTGTTAGTGCTACTGCTCCTTCAGGGAAATAATTTCTAGCTCATAAGAAATACTAGAGGAACACTATGGTAGGGTTTTTTGCAATCCCTGGGAACACTATAATGCTATGCAGATCATATGCAAATGTAAATCTAGACTATGGAGACTGAGAAAGGTATATTTCTTTTTAGTAATAATTGCAGATCTTTCTAGGTTGATGAGGCTCCTCAAATACCAACACTTGACAACTTCACTGATGCTGTAACTTGTACAAGTTTCACAAAGGATGTAGTTTTGAATGGTGCTTGCATATACATTCTTTTCACTTTAGGTCTGCTTTTTAGATTTTGTAGCTTGTTTTTGAAGTTCTGTTGGAACTGTTTTATTTGTGGTTTGGCTTTTTTTTACCACCTTACTTGTTTTAATGGAAAGAAAAAAGATTCACCAGAAACATTTAGCATATCCAGTTTATCCCATACCACCTCTGTTCTCCCAGAGACAGAAGTTTGTATCCCAGTAGTTCACAGGCAAAACTGCTGCCAGTTGAATAAACACTTTTGACAAATTTCCAGAGCTTCACTTATGAAAACTCATTGATTTTCATTAGCTTTGGGTTTCTTGGACATGACTTTAGAGTTTATGTCATTTCTTTGAGTTTCTCTGTTATTGATTATTATTTTTTTAAAAAAAATATGTGTGTGTGTGTGTGTATTTGCTTGTTTGTTTGTTGACTGGTGCTTTTGTTGTCAGATGCTGTGCTTCCATAAAAATTAATGAAAACAATGAACCTTGAAAAAGCCAACTTAGTACTTTGACTATCATTAATCTATCCTGGGGCAATATCTTGATAACCTAGTGTGTTCTTTCCACATGTTAGACACTAAAGGAAAAGCTTACTTTTTGAAGCTGGAAGTTTTGCTAGGTTGTCCCCTAAAGAGAGCTCTCAGAAAAGTCACATACTTGCCTTGTCTGTCTCTTCTTGCTGTGTGCTCAGACACTGTTTCCAAGTAAAACTGAATTTTACATATGTCAAAAAGTCTCACTGAAGGCTGATAACCTGCAATTCACTTAGAAGGCCGAGTCCTGAATATTGAAGCTGTTGCAGTTGTCCTTTGTACAAGGGCATGGATGTGTGAATATTCTGTCATCACAATTTTTTGAGATGATACTGTAACAGGAAGTGAACTCTTGGTGAGGAATCTTTTACCATCTCACTCATTTTGGCTAGCAACTTTTCAAAATAGCCTTGAGTGGGATTTGAGTGCCCTCAGTATGATTAATCATTGAGACAAATCTAAGTAAATAATGAGACTATAATAGGGCAGATGAGTAAAAAGAAGTGCTGATAGGTCTTGGCAGGTAAAATTAATGTGGGTAATGGGGAAAATGTCTTGAAGCATATGCATAATTTTATATAGTTTTTAAAAGCTTATCTCCTATGCTTGAGTCTACTGAAGGCAACATTCAAGTTAATAGTTAGTAGTTTTTGTTCAATTTTAATTGTATTTTTATTTAAAGATTGGAAAACTTAGATTAGATTTATACATCTGCATTCTCAGAGTGTAGCTGATCTGTGCAATAGTTAGGCACTACTCTTGTCTTAGTAATCTAAGTGTAAGCTTTGTGCCATCAGCTTACACTTGTTTCTAAAACCTGTTTTTCCTGTTATATTTATAGGCATAGTTGGTGTTGCTAATTAAGGCATTGCTTAACAGTTCTCTTCTTACTCTTACTGTCTATAACTTGTGCCAAACTGTACATGTATGAACTGAAATTTTCCAAGCAAGTTACCCTTTTCAGTTTCCCATTTCCAAAATTCAGCTGTTGTGAGCTCAGAACAGGAGAAGAAGTTGTAATTTTGCTGTGACATTGCTTCAGGAGTATTTCTTTGAAGCATTTGTGCCATCCTTAGGTTTTGAAGCAAGGTTCTGAAGAAGTTCTATAAAGTTAGGTGAGAGGCAGCCTTTTAGAAAGGTAATGATCCTTGCTCTGGGTTAAGATCTGTTCCTTCTTGGTCTTAGGATAAACCTTTGTAAAGGAGTTGGTATGGCAGAGCATAGTAGCTAAAATTACTGGAGGCCTCAATGAGCTGCTTCCTTACAGTCCTTAATGTTTGCCAGGATACCCTGTTGAACCTTTTCAGGAGCAGCAAAGTATGTTCCGACAGTAGTTTTGTGGGTCCTTGTGCTTTTAGACAAGTAGCTTGTTGGTGCTGCCCACTGCAGCTGATTGCAGTGGCCTTTCTGGTCCACTCAGTGCCATTAATTGTGCTGGTGTCTGAGAATTCCTGTTGGGAACCATAGCACAGGAATCACACTGAACAAATGTAAAACAAAACCGAAGGAAAAGAGGTGTATTGGGCAATGAAATTAGAAAGCTTCCGGAGTCCCACCTGCAGTTGTGTAAGGTTGCCCTCAAGAGACTGTAGGGCAACAACCTGGGTAACACTGGTGTGTTGGAAATCTGCTTCGTTTCTGGACATCAGGGTTTTCCTTGGCTTTACAGATTTCAATTTTGTGACAGAAGTAAAACTTGTTAGAGAAATAAAACACATAAACATACAGCTCACCAAGTACATTTGAATCTCTTTATATTTTTTTCTCATGTTTCCTAAAGTGTCAGCCCAGATGTTTGCTAAATTGAGGTTGAAGTGGGGTTGCCACTAATAGTGGAGTGACTGTTTTACAATTGTCTTTACAGGTAGTAGCCTCAAAAATGAAAAAAGAAAGGCAAGATGCAGGGAAGCTCACAGTCTTTGTGAACCAGATATTAGCCAGTAAAACTTCAAAGATGACAGGCAGTTTATTGAGAAACTATTGAACTTGAGAGTGGCGAAGCTGAAAACTATCTTTTGTTCTATACTGGACAGCATAGGTAGATCTGCACCCGTAATGTTCTGTGTTGGCTGAACATCGCCTGTGGGAAAGGAGCTTTACTGGCTACAAGATCTTGTATTCTTGGTGCAGATAGAAATTCTCTATTTCCATTGCTTTTGAGAGCTGAGTGTTCATTCGGAGAAGCAGTGATTCCTATCAAAGATTTGCCACATGAAAAAACCATTTACATCCTTTGTTTCAGGTACTGAGCAGTACAGTGAGTACACAGGCTATGCAGAAACTTACCGATGGGCAAGAAGCCACGAAGATAAGACCCCAAGGTAAAGTTACACCTAAGTATTTTAAGTGAAGGAATAAATAAATCCTATAAATTTGAAAACCTGGTGCTTTTAGGTATTTCCTAGCATTTGTCTTAATAGGGTATTTGACTGCTTGATGCTGCTCTCTGCAGTACAGACAACAAGCTAAGGAAGTTGCATCATATTAATAATGAGATATTAATGCTAATAGGTGGTGTCTGACAGTATGCTGGTTCTTAGACCAACACCTTGCATATATATTTAATCCACATTTTTGTTAAGATGCTGACTGAACTGTGGATTGTAATGTCACGGTAAGTTTGACAATGATACTTCAGGTACCACAGTGCAGCTGATGTGTAGCAAAATAAGATTTAATGTCATGAATCTGAGTAGAAAGCTCTGAGCTCTTGAATTTATTTCTCCAACGATGTTGTTATAGTGTGTACACAAAATTACTCATTTGGTATAGAAACATACACGATGTACTCATTTAAATGTTGGAGGAAGACAGAGAGACACTTGCCTTGCAGTGTTCTTATGTACTTAATAAATAGCACTGTGTAATTAGATTTGTTTCACATTCATGCCCAAAGTCTAGCCAGAGTATTTCTAAATTTATAGTGAGACCTGTCTCATTCTGATGCTGCTTTCATTCCCACCCACTAAGAAAAAGCTCTCCATCGTCTGTTATGAGTTCACCTTTTTGGCTGCTTCTAATGCAGAAGCTCAAGTCTAGCCAGAGTATTTCTAAATTTATAGTGAGACCTGTCTCATTCTGATGCTGCTTTCATTCCCACCCACAAAGAAAAAGCTCTCCATCGTCTGTTATGAGTTCACCTTTTTGACTGCTTCTAACGCAGAAGCTTTGCAGGGAATTGCTCATTTTGAATCATGATTATATGGCCAATATTAAACAACTAATGTCATCTACTTTTCTCCTCCCTCTAATTTTAGGGATGAATGGCAACGACGCTACACTGAGATTGTTGCTATAGATGCATTTCACTTCAGACGTTTCCTTGATCAGTTTGGTCCAGAGAAAATTAGAAGAGAGCTGAACAAGGCCAGTAACTTCTTACAACAGCCTTCAGTCTAATGCTTATAGTACTTTTTCAAATATTTCCAAGTCGTACTTCAGGGTGTTGCTGTCCAAAGATAAAGCAGAAGAGTGTCAAATACAACTCTTGTCCTTTGCTACACTCTTCAAAGGTGTATTTTATTTAACTTTCAAAAATATAAATGAAATTTGGATATACATTTTATTAACTCTTTTCTGTCCAGTTTCTAAATGACAGGCTGAGAGTTGGGGTTGTTCAGCCTTATTGCATCTTTCCAGTATCTAAAGGGGACTTAGAAAAAGGAGGGAGAGGAACTTTTTGTATGGGCAGATAGTGACAGGACAAGGGCAATGGTTTTAAACTGAAAGAGGGCAGGTTTAGATTAGATTTTTGGAAGAAATTCTTCACTGTGTGGGTGGTGAAGCACTGGAACAGGTTGCCCAGGGAAGCTGTGGATGTCCCATCCCTTTGAGTGTTCAAGACCAGGCTGGATGGGGCTCTGAACAACCTGAGCCAGTGAATGGTATTCCCTGCCCATGGCAGGGGAGTTGCAGCTAGTTGATCTTTAAGGTTCCTTCCAACCCAAACCATTCTATGATTCTAAATTATGACTTTTAGTTCTTTTCCTGTGATTTGCTCTGTTGAATCCTCCTCAGCCATGCAGTCAAGGTGGAGAAGGAGGTGCCTCACATTTTAACACGGTGACAGTTCATAGATATGGTGCTAGTTGCTTTTCTTCCACATTTTCTTTGCTCCTGGGGTATTGACATACTACCTGAGAGTTTGTCTTTTTGTATATTGATGTCTTCTTGAGAGCAGATCTAGCTGTTCATAAATCCCCTATCTTTATTTTCACAATAGCTGTAAGGGCTGTTCTAACTGGATATGTGTATATATGTGTGAGTTAGAGCTTACAGTGTTCAGCAGACTGACAAATCAGGCCAGTTTTAATCCTTTAAACAAAACTTCTAGACTAATATTAATTCTTACACGTTATTAATCATTATCATTATGTATTCAAAGTTATCAGTCCTTGACCTTGCCCTAAATTAGCTGCACAGCTCCAGTGACTGTGGTCCTTGATAATTTCAGACATTAAAGTTGCCAGGCTGAAGAGCTCTTTGACAAGGAAGCTGCAGTGGGCATCTTTTTTCTCTCTCTCCTGCCATCACTAATTTGGGATCTTGTCCTTAAATAACATACTTGAGATGGTTTCCAGCCCTTGGTCTCTGCCCTGCCCTATGTGCTGCACAATGTTTGGGAATACTGGGTTACTTTCCCAAGTCATGGCCTGTGCTTTTTCATTTGCACAACTGAGGTTTTCCTTTCATTTGTTTCTCTTCTTGTTTTGCTGCTGCTCTTTTGTTGAAGCTAAAGCAATTTTTTCCCAGCTTTTGAGGTTGTACTTTTTGGGTAGATATTGCTATCAGTGAGCTGTTCATAGTTATGAGACCTTAGCTTTCAACCTGTGCCAGTGATTTCAAGGCCTTCGC